AAAATAATGCACTTTTTTGTAGAAAAACCTTTTAACATAAAGATAACATAAACAAACACATCATCTATGGACATATACATTTAAAAGCTGAAAATAAAATCCATCCCGCCATCCAGTGTTTGAGCCTATGTAGAAAATCATTGACTCATTTTCATATGTATTGGATTGGCCATTTTTTCTACGTGGAAATTATCTACCGATCTATATTTTGAGAACTGATAGTGTTCTATTTTCTGTTACTAAACCTGAAAAAACATTGAGCTTATATTTAAATCAGATTATCATTTTATAACTACCTTAAAGTGGGTCTGTTTTATCTTTTTTTATATATGAAGTATTTAAGAACAAAATTCATAAGTGTGGTATTAAATATTAGAAAGTCTTAACACATCTGAAATTCCTTGTTAATTTTCTTAATAAAGGATGGGTGTAGTCAATAGCAATTAGCAGCTTTAAGATGTTTTGCACATTAGAATACAGTAGTCTATTTATTTTAGCTCATCTGGGGAGTATCTAGTATATTAAAAGGCTTTGTAGTTCCGGAGTGACTTCTCTGCTGCCACTATGCCTGTTAGCAATTTTGCAACATCCTGACAAATATTTTCCATAAATCAAAGCCATAACAGCATGCAGAAGCAGATGGCAGGAGACCATATTAAAGAATATAACAATTACTTTCCATAATGGAAAAATATTGGATCATTGTTGTCAGCCTGGCCTATGTAGCAAGCAGTTGTCAATTGTGAAGTCTTTCTGCTGTTAAGTATCAGATGATTAACTCATATGGCTTTCCCCACTACAGTCTATATACAAGGGCAGAATAAAGAGAACTATATTAAAACATTTAATGGTTATGCTCTTTCATTTAATATGTGCAAAGAAAATATTGGTACATTTAAAAAGTACTTGTACAAAAATTCATGTATGCATTAAAGTACACCAGTGTTCTTCATTTTCATAGAAAATAAGACACATTACTTTGTTATTAAAATGAAAAATAGCAATAATTACAAATTCTACAGTCTTATTATATTAACAATGTTTTCTTGATATAACCGATGTTAGACTGAAATTATAGGAATGTTACTTCAGCTATTCATATATATGTAATGCTATTAAAGTCAAAGATTTTTAACTACATTGTTATTATTAAGATTAAATAGCTGAATTAATTTTTAGCTTGGCATGCTATAAGCAATGGCTAAGTTGCTAGATAAGATTCTGGAATTTAGTTTGTTTAAGCATTCATACTCAGTTTTTAAAAGTAAGAAATAGCTTATGGGAAAAGAATTATCTCCTTTTTCTTTTGACTATTTTATTTGCCACACAAAATAATATTTAAATAAAATGGTTTCTGTTTAAAACTATATAATGCTTAACTTTAAAGGTAGCATAGGAATAGAGAAGGTAATCTTGCAAACAACAGTTATTTTTATTCTTTAAGCCTTCTAAGCTGGGAAAACTGAAAATTTGCTGAGTACTTTATCAGCAGAAACAATAGAAATCATTAGATTGTAAAGAAACACACGTAGCATACAAAGTTCCCTTTCCTGTATGAAGCGCACACAAGGGCATTTTATCCTCAAATCAGAGGACTCCTAGAAGACATTGCTTTATATCAAAATAATTCTTTTCTGATAATTTCTCATACACTCAAGTTCTCCAGGAAACTCACGTGGCACAGAAACAGTGAAGCAGGTTAATGGAAACAAACCGCAAAGCACCGCCAACAAATAAAGAACTCACCGTGCTGGCTAGTCTTGAAATTACCACATAGCCCTCTTGGTTTCTGAGCCTATGCTTCCCCTGTTGCAAGCGCTCTTATTGCAAGGGTATATATACCTCTAGATCCAGCTGAAGGATAGGCTTTCGTGGGGTTCTCCCCTTCAGGTTAAAAATATTTTTATTTTCAAATTTACCAACCATACAAATAATAAAATATTAAGCAGTGGCTAATGATGAGGACTTTATCATGGCATCGGCACTCATTTATGAGGCCATGGATGAAATCCCTGTACAGGCGGTTCCCAGGAGCTCAGGTTGACATCAAAAACATGTGAACACACATAGCTTGGGGTACCCCGAGTGTTGTATCTCTGTAGCATCTACACACATGTCCCACATCTATACTGAAGCAAATTCCAGCTTCAGTTGTTTCCACCAAACTCAGGTTTATCTAATGCTGATAGAACAGCAATATGATGAATGGATTTCAGTTTTCATGCACATCTTAGGTGTCATGAGGAAAGAAAATATCAACGTAAGATCCCGTAGAAATATTCAATGAGCTCAATTTCTTTTTGAAGCTTATAATGCATCATGCATTGTCCTTATTATCAATAGTACATGTCCCCTTAAAAATGGGAGCATTCAGCTATGATATTCATTTATTGAAATGTTAAGCCCTCGGTAAGAGGACAAGAATAGGGGGGTATTTTCATAATACCATTAAATATAAGAAAATCTCAATATTACTTAAAATATTAAATGAAAGACAAAATAAATGACTTTTCTTGTATAAAAGTTAATTTCTTGTGGTAAATGGGCACACAAAATCAAAGAATATGTGTGTGTTTTTTTTTTTTTAAGGTAAACCCCATGAAGCAATTTATGTACAGTCACATTTGAGAATGAACATATGAGGCTAAAACTGAAGAGGAAGGCTATTTCTGGGTGTCTCCAGCTCATCTGGCAATTTAATTTTTAGAGGAATTATTTTTTTGGCTTTACAGAGAAAGCCTCACTGATAAGACCCTAAACCGGGCAAGTATGTCCTGTGTACGTGTTCTCCAACTGAAACAGGAAACATTTCAAAGAATAAGCATTAGAAGAAATGAGAACTACACAGTTACATCTAATCACTGAGGTCTTCATCACTGTCAGATAATTGGGACATGGAAAAGACTGATTAATGCAAATCCATAAGAAGAAATCCAACGTCTTATAATAAATGGGAGGAGAAATTGGCTTGGATGTTATCTTATCTTTAAAAAAGTTACTAAAATAAAGACATCATTGAAATTATGTATTATTTTTTGCATGCTTAGCAACTTGTTTATTAATAGTGACTTGATAATCAGTCTTTTGTGCTAGAATTCTTTGAGAAATGATTTTCCTTTCTCTGTTTGGTAAAGCCTGCAACAATATTCTTTTATTCCTCACTTTTCTTAAGGTTCTTCCTAAGTCTCACAGGTGCTCAAATAAACATTTTTTTTGCAATTTATATTATTTTCAATGTGAAATTTATATATCTCATGCCAAATTTTATTGTAAGATTTATATAGAATTTAGTCTGCAGAAAACTCAACTTTAAATCTATAACACATAAATGACATGGTATGTTGAGTAAGGGCTGTTACTTGAATATGGACTACTTTGTGAACGGATAACTTTCTAACAAATAATTTTCCGTTCAGCATGCTTTACTTTCCTATGCAACCTCAACACTATTAGATTTGGAATATTGTTGGTGTTAAGAAGTTTCTCCCCTACAGAAGATATTAGCTGCCATGCCCGTGTTCCAGTAGAGACATAGTTAAGTAGCTGTGTGTGAGTTACAGATGTGATGCAGAAACTTTTCACTTGGTAACCACGGAGACTTTCTGGGGAATTTTAAAATCTTATGACGTGTGCAAATTACTGTCCATGCATAGTTCTCCATTTTCTTGGGGAAAGAATAAATAGCTGTCACTAAGTTCTCAAGGCCTCAATGCTGTGAAAAGTTAGGAATGACTATTTAAAATTTTAAATTATTTTGGTCGACAGGGGCCATAGCAATACCCTACACTGTCTTAAAAGTGTCCTTATCCACTTTGTAATTCCCTGGGATCATACATACTAAAGGGAACATTACATTTATTAGTCTCTTCTCTAGAACTTTATGTCTAGGCTTGATGTCCTTATTTTACCCAAACGCTATGAGACCTCAGTTCCATGGACAAGAAGTATTACCTCAAGACCATGAAAAATGATGGCAGAATAACAGCATCACCTTAGAATATGCAAGCCTCGGGATACGATGAAACTGAGACAGCAGAAACACAAAAGAAATAATATTCCACTTGGAATAGTATGTTCTGCCTGGGCCACAGAACATTTATTTCCCTATTATTTGCAAAGTCAAATCAAATTATCACCCCTGAGGAAAACGTTCATCATTATTATTAAAAGTGTTAAATGTCCTCTTAAAAATATTGAGAAAAATCTTTTCAAAAACACATTTTAGGTTAATCTTACACATCTGATTTTAATGGCAATTCCCAGAAATTATGAATGATTTTTCCATCTCAAACAATCAAATTATTCCAACATTCCAAAATCAGAGCTGATTTATGGTAAGCAAGAGACTGTCCACATTGAGGAATTTGAGTCTCACCACTCTTCGTTAGCCTAAGAGCCTAATACTTTTTGGATGACATACTGTGGACAAAACACTAAACCAAGAATTACACATCTTGTTATTTACTTTTTATTCTAGTAACAAACATTATCTCTATTATATTATAGCATCCTAAATTCATTTGTCTCTGCAACCCCTGAAGAAGGGCACGCAGATCTGTCAATCAAACATCCCATGAAGAAGTTTCCCACACTTTTTTTCTTTGATCATTTGGTCCCCTACACTAACCCCCACTCACACACTTGTTTCCAGCCTGTGCACTTTGCACGATGCATTTCTCCTCCAACTTCGTAATCATCTCCATTGGCTCTGCTCTTCTGCTTCACAGCATATGTTTAGATTTTAATTCTGTGCCCCTCTACCCTTCAGTTTTGTTTTTCATTGGGTCTTGGTGAGTGCCTCCTCTAGAATTAGATCATATATTTCTCATTGGTTCAACATTTTCACAAGGACCAATACAGTTTTAAGCCTTCACTCATCGATATTGGTTGGGTCATGATTATACATTAAGGTCCAGCCATAATGTCAGACAGAGCAATATATGTTCTGATAAAACTCCCAAAGTTTAGAAAAGTTCAAGAATAAAAACACAAATGGAATACTGTATATACAAACATTTATATTGTACTAAATGTTAACAAAAAGCCAGACCACAGGGCAAGAACTTCGTCTCCTAGTCACATTTAAATAAAATAAAATGTAGTCCCAGTTTACAGATTATCAGCTGGCAATCTAATGTTCAATATCCTGTCAATTTTTGAGATAATATACATCAACCAAAAATCTATATCTAACATTGGACATGATTACAAGTGTTAAATACCAGATACATTTTCAAGAATAGGGACATTTTACATTTTAGTTACTAAAACTGATTACACAACATCCTTCAAAGAACAAAAAAATAAGAATTGGAATATAGTTTATGGTGTTGATCAGATAATCAGAGGGATGAACATCCTCCCTACATTGTGTGTGTGTGTGTATGTGTGTGTGTGTGTGTGTGTGTGTAAAAACCATTAAATCTCAGGACCATGTCCCACAGGAGATTCTGCACTGTGTTCCCTTTTCTGAAGAGAACATACACACACTAATCTGCAAGAAGATGTTTAGAATTGGTCTTTCTGAACTGATTAAAGAAGTCAGAGTCTAATTTTAGAAAATGACATTTTTGGAAATGTTCTTTGTTCTATTTTTGAAAAGTTGTCATGTTCATTCCAGACTTGAGTTTCAAGTTTAAGTGACAAAAATATATATTTTATACTTTTTTCCTGATAGTGGTTCAACAATACATAATATGTCCACCAGACCATGGAAAAGAAATTATCGCCAAATTTGTTAGTCTTGATTCTTTAAAAAAAATGATGTTGTAGAAGGTGACACGGAATATGGAAGTAAGAAAAGACTGAGATTGCAGACTCTTTAAGGACTATAGCTCCAATAATATCTTATCACGTCACTGCTTTGAAGGTATCATACTAGGGCCATTATTAAGCTGTACCACCTTCCAGGAAAATTAAATAAAAGAAAATCTGAAAGCAATACTGCAATCTTCAGTAACTCTTTAACATCACGCTTCTTCTTCCCATGAGTTCTTCCCTTGGTTCTGATCACATTTTCCCCCACGGGCAATGTAATTCCTTTCAAAGGATTACGTGCAAACAATGCATGAAACACAGATCATGACTGCATAGCACCAGTGTGGAGTTGCTTCCTGTTTTTGAGCCTGTTTGTGGCTTATAATTCATCGCCATCCTCGGAACTGAGGCTGCTTCCGCTGCTTGCTTTGGACACAGCAGGAGAAATGGCGGAGAGCAATGGGTCTCTCCCAAAGGGACATATTGTATCACTGAGTAGCATGCCTTCCAGTCGCTGTTCCTCCTTCAAAGCAGCACTGTAGGATAAATCTGTGAAGTGGGACAAAGGGTCAGAGAAGGCCACAGCTTGTTCACAGAACTCCGGGCTTGTCCCCTGAGATGGAGTCAGTTGTTGGCAGTAGCCCAGGCAGTTCTTCTCAGAATGGGTCTGCTGTTTGGTGAGGTGGGCGCTGGGGTCGATTGTGCCTAGCGAAGCCAGCATTGGCAGACCATGAGCACGGGCCTGTACTTCTAGTTCCTGCAATTCCCAATAAGAATCATTAAATAATGCATTGGAGAGGTTGCTGTAATAACTAAAAGCAAACTGAAAATAAAACAAAATATTAACTAGTATTCAAAATGAAGAGGAGAGCAAACTATAAACTTTATTATTATTATTATTATTATTATTATTATTATTATTATTTTACACATAAATCTGTTGTACTTACAATGCCTAAATATTGTCTAAAATAATAATGCCTAAATAATGCCTAAAAAAAAATCCTCTCATGTCTGTTAGCTTCATGGCATGTGATGGCTGCAATGTGGCTTGGACTAAATAGTGTAATATGTAACTTCCGGAAAGTCTTCCATTTTTGACTCCTGGCTAATCACCTGCCATGACTCAAGAGCATTTCATTGAAACAGGGTAAGTGTATTACTTGACCATATGCATGTTTGCATTAAGAAGAGATAGAGACGAAGATACGAAGCCCAGATTTGAAAATCTTGTGACACATGAACTGATAAGAAGTAACAGTGTAAACTACTAAAATATGCCTGGAGGCAACGAAACCCACAACAATGTTACCAAAGAAATGATAGTCTGGGAGAAAGTTAGTGTCCAAAATTCTCTTACAGAAACATATGTTGTTTCCTCTGAGTTTTCAGGGGAGAGTGAGTGCTGAGATAATACTAGGAGTGTGTCAAATGAACATTGTTTTCCGCATTTGGTTCTCGTTCGTTCTATGTCTATTTAAGTCATCTTGGCCTTAAATCTCTAATTGAAATCTAATTGAAACAATTCAAGTCAGAAGCCTCTAAGAAGGCAGTAAAGTTACTTTCCCAAAGAAAAAAAATAGTTGTTAATTAAAAAAATACACAAATGAAACTAATAAATAAGGGCAGTGTGAGGCTAGCCGTATGTGCGCGGCGCAGCTCAGGGCAACCATCCCAGAACCTGAATTCGAAGCATCAGCTGCCGGTTGGCCTGCTCTAATTTCTTCTGTCGGTGTTCTAACTCCCGGGCTCTCTGTTGTTCTTTTTGTAGCCACTTGATGTACTCCACAGACGCTTTTAGAATGGTCCCTTTGTTCCAGCGCATATCACTGTAGAAGGGAGAGATAACCTTTTCACAATTGTGCATGTCAGCAGAATTCATAAGAACTTACAAAATCTTTTACATTAATATGAAATAATGATTTACATGACTATTATTCACTCTTAGATATTATTGCTTCTGAATAGAAATTTTAATAGAATAGTTAAGAAGCCCTTATATAGTAAAATTAATCCCAGAATGAAAATAAGTGTCAAAAGAAAGTAATAAAGTGACTTTTTGTGGGAGAGCTAAATGCAATATCATGATTCTACCATTACAGTTTTTATATTTTTAGTGAAAATTGCTTTTATTATTAACTCTAAGATTAAAATCTATGTGCAGTATTTCTGCATTAATGAACTAGGAAATGTACATTACTGATGACATAAGCCTAAATTTTTAAAGATCATTTCAAATGTACCAATCTTTTAACCTATTTCCCAATATGGTTGCTTTTGTTTCTAAGAAAGAAAAAATACATTCTTCCTTGAATGGTGATCTCAGTGGTTGCCCAACATTGACGTTGGATAACATTTTTTTTTATGCAATAGAGCAAGCTTCCTGAAACCGTTTCATCAATTTTTTTGTCCATAAATGTTAACACTGTTATTTTAAAAGCTTAATTCAGAAAACTATTTTCAAATATTTAAGATAAATCAATAGAATTAAACATTTCTGAAAAGTATTTTAAGTTTTAGCAATATTAAAATGCTTTTAATATAGGAAAAATAATAAATACAGAAGTGTAGAAGAGGCTAAGAATGATTTTGATATCTGCAAACATCATGGATGTAATGCTGCATGAGAACTACTAATATGCAGTAGAACGAAGAACAAACTAATTATCAAACACTAATTAAAGTGGTTAGAAAATGCTGTCACCTCTGCAATGGGTTCATCTGAGAGCTATTTATTCAAAATGATAATCTTAATTTTTTTTTTTTGTTTCCTGTTTGAGTTTTTGGTTTCACCACTACCACACATCGTAATGGTATTTCTTATTCACTTTGCTGTCATCAAACAAAATTCTGCCTTCTCTCTATTGTCCCTACAATCGTTCCCTAGTATTTTTCCTGAAACTTTTAAGTTATGTGTATTAACATCTAAAATTCAAACAAACAGTCAAAATTGTTTCAAAGACTAGTCATTCTTGGAGTCTTCAGATCAAGACTCTAGATTCAACCGTGACATTTTCACTGCAGAAACCCGAAGGGCATTGAAATAACAGACGGGACCTCAGCAAGCCAGGGACTGAAATGTACTAAAGTAGAATTTAGTGCTCAGGAGTTTGAATGGCAGGCTGATAGTCTTTTCTGCCTGTATCATCTATTCACATACAGAGATATTCAGTGTTTGACTATCTGGTGTCTTTACAGCAACACTTTAATGCTGTTTGTCTACAGATAGCACAATACAACAAGGTAAAGAACAGCCCTCCTTTCTGAGAGTCATAAGGACTGAATCCATAAGGAAGAAAATTATGCTTGAGAATGCACGTGGGGAAGTTTTCGCAACTCTCTTCTCCTTCATCGGAGTCTGTGGTAAATTGATTTTCTGTCTCCTACACCGAAACAAGACGAATGATAGCCACAGACAGTTTTTTTCAAGAGTTTCAGTGGCTATAATCATTCTCACTCATTTACATATAGTCTGTCTGATTTGGGGATAGAATGACAGAGTTAAATAACTGCAGAACAGCTTATACAAGACATAAGGCTTGAAATACTTATAGGAAAAGCTTGTCATCCTATATGCTATACAATGACGTAAGCCTGAAGGAAGAAATATTACCAAAATAGCTTTAAATGTTAAAGAAGACAGTCCTTCAAAGAATCTTTATAGTGTATTCTCATATATCCCATCCTTATTTTTATAGAAACAATTATAAAGAAAAGGCAATTAGTTATTCTATTTTACAGACTTATATCTATTTTTAAATGTTTATGCATAGGGATTGGAGGGTTGTCTCAATGTTTAAGCGCAGTAGTTTTTGTTGCAGAGGACCCAGAGTTGATTCTCAACACCCACATAGAATCTAACAAACACCTGTCACTCTAGTATCAAGGAATCTGATGCTTCTCCTGTAGGATTAGGTACACACATGGCTCACATAGAGGCATGCAGGTAAACATATTCATACCTATAAAACAAGAGCATCAGAAGTTGATTTGGATGTGTGCCTGACTCTGTGAATGTATGCCAAGTGTGTGTGCAGGTGCCTGCCAGTGCCGGAAAACACTGGATGCCCTAATGTTGGAGTTACAGACAAGTGTGAGCTGACCAACACAGGTGCTGGACACCAAACCCAGTTCCTCTAGAAGAGCAGCACGAATTTTAACCACTGAACCATCTCTCCAACCCAGCTGTTCTCTGTGAATACAAAAAGAGCCCTAAACTTAGTGAATTAGAAGATGTGAATGGTTATCACTATTGCCCAAATTAGGCCTGAGCCCCTAGATGTCTGTTCTGGGTTAGGTCCTTCTGCCATGTTCGCCTTGATGCCTGCACTGTCTAGTGTGCTCAGGAGGAGAAATGTTAAACTCTTTCCTAAAATTATTTAATTGCTACTAGTTGTTAGATTTAAGGAAAGAATGTTTTCAATTTTTACAAGTATCTCTTCATTAATACCCCCATTTATGGATTATGGGTAATTGATGATATTTGAAGAGATCATTTTTAAATCATCATTAAAGCTGCAAATCACGACTGTTTTTTGTAAAAAAAAAAAAAAAAAAAAAAAACCCACTTTACTTTCTTTTTTTTTAATTTTAATTTTTCTTTTTAGTTACAATTTGTTAACTCTGTGTCCCAGCTGTATCCCGCTCCCTCATTCCCTCCCCATCCCCAACTCCCTCCCTGGTCTCCTCCCTGCCCCTTTCCAAGTCCACTGATAGGGGAGGACCTCCTCCCCTTTCATTTGACCCTGTTTTATCAGGTATCTTCAAGGCTGGCTGCAAAGTCCTCCTCTGTGGCCTAACAGGACTGCTCCTCCCCTGGGGGGGGGGGAGGTCAAAGAAGGGAAGTTAGTATGATATGGAAAGGATAGGAACTCTACAAGTACCAAATATATCCGGGCACAGGGTCTTTTCTGAGACACTTTACTTTCTAAATTGAAATTTTGATTAATTAATTCTTGATGAACCTAGAAACTGGAAGATTCTTCCACTATCTCAAAAGTCATTTCAGGTTACATATATCAGAGGTCTTCAACACCTGGGTTCTTTTTCCTAATATTTGTATAGAAGGGTAGAAAAGAAGGAAAAGCTGGATGATAAGTTGATGTGAATAAAAACTTAAGTTTTTTCTTCTTATTTCAAGAACTCATATACATCTATTTCATTAGTTCTGCCTTTTTCATCTAGAAGTGGACTCATTGATATTTTCAGTTTCCAACACCACATTTGGCTTTGTGCTTGGCCACCAAAATCTGGTTGGCATCAGTCAAAAATATTTTACAGTTCTACTTGTTTTCACATGTGAATCTCCTGAATTTGAACATATTTGAAACTGTGGCAATTCAATTTTAATGTTCATGTAAATCTTAAATTGGAAGAAATGTCATTATCATGAATTGAGTATCTCAGTCAGCAACATAAACAGCCTTTGACACTATCACTGAATTGCCAAAACTGTTAATATGCTGAGAGCCACTGTGATCTGAGGGAAGCTCATACTTATTTTTATGATCAGAAGGATGAGACTAGAAAATGCCTTGATACCTAATAACTATTACACTAAAATAGATATTTCAAAAGCAGTCGAGTAGACTTATCTTTACTATAAGATGCTTCATTTCCTGGTCACTGGATCTCTCTTCCCTTTTCCCACCCACCCATTTCTTGGGTACTGAAACTACAACATTATTGCACAAATGATTTCGAACTCACGGATCATTAGACTTTGGAATAAGAGTGCCAAGTTCCTTGATTCGGTAATTAATATTATACCTTCTTCTTCTTTCAACTATTAAGAAAAAAATATTATTGATTATTCTCATTAAAACACAGTTCACTGTTGGTCATCTAAAAATCTAATAATCTTTTTAAAATAGTAAAAAAAAATTCCAAGTTAGTCAAAAGATAGCATTTAATAATAAGATAAAAATTCAACTCTATATTACACTACCAGTAAAATTTGTAATGGTAGAGTTGTGAATATGTACTTTATAACAAGATAAAATTTTTTTTTGCCACAAAACACTTTTATTCTTTGTATTTGCTCCCAGTGGTATACACGTCCACACACAGACACATACACATGTTCACGTGATTATCCTGTTTGATACCTCACACATGCACGTTCTAGTAGTCTGTTAGAGCAATCTTCCAAGGCCATTCCCCATGCGTTACCCTGCTTATACACTGTCCTCAATGTTTAGCACGTTGTACTCATGACTAGTTAACCTGGATTGTGTCTCCAGAGAGCTCAGCCTTTTGGGGAATGCGCTAAATGACATCTTGTGGGGACAGGTTTTACCTTCCGTGGCGTGGATCCTCAGAGTCAATCTCAGGTTGTCAGACTCGGCAGCGACACTTTTACCCACTGAACTATCTCACTGGTCCTAGTTTTCTAATTTAAAGTTTTCAATAATACAGGTGGGTAGTTTGTAAACGCTTGCTTGAATCAGACATATCTGGAAGGATGGTTGTACAGATGTGTAGCTAACCTGGGAAGTCTGATTTTTGTAGAGTCTATGCACTTCCAATGTCATTAGGTGAGGCTGATGTTACCTGTGAAATATGAGCTGTCTAAGAACTATTGATAAAAGCTATTTAATATTTCTCTCTCTTTAATTTTCCATACATTCATTATTTTATAACAATTCCATATATTTAGAAACTATTCACTGCCAGTGACATGACGAACCTATATTGACCCTACATAATGTTTTCGCAGTAAATCACAGGTATAAAGTATTCAGGGACATTTGAGCAAAAAAGGCCATGAAAAAAAAAAATTGAAGCATACTTCTAAAACATGGTAACATACCAGAATAGTCCTACTTGAGAACTAAGATCTGCGTCACCAAATGAGAGAAGTCACTAATAAATATCATTTGCCTTCATAATCCTTCTCTGCAAAGTGAGGTACCTTTAAGGAACTTAAACTTTAAGAAGAGTATGTTCTGTTGCTCTCTTTGTGGTACACAGATGTAGCCCATGGCAGCTCAGTGTCCAAGTGGGTTCTCTAGTAATGGAAAGAGGGACTGTCTCTGACATGAACTCAGTGGCTGACTCTTTGATCACCTCCTCCTGAGCAGAGGGTGGGGGGGCAGCCTTACCAGACTACAGAGGAAGACAGTCTAGACAGTCCTGATGAGACCTGATATATGAGGGTCAGATAGAAGGGGAGAAGGATTTCCCGTATCAATGGACTGGGGAAGGGGCTTGAGAGGAAAAAAGGGAGGAAAGGCAGGATTGGGAGGGGATAAGAGAGGTGACTCAACAAGGGAAAGAAAGTGGATAAATTATAATAAATAAAAAATAATTTTAAAAAAAGAACAGCACATTCTTTTTTATTAATAATTAATTCAATTTACATGTCACTCATAGGCCCCTCCCTCCTGTCCTTCCAGTCTCACCCTCCCTCCAGCATTCCCTCTCTCCTATTCTTCAGGGAGCCCCCCACCCAGACACCCCAGTTCATCTAGTCACATGAAGGCTGAGTTTGTTTTCCTCCCCTGAAGCCTCGTAGAAAAGTCCTATCAGGGGGAAGTGATCAAAAAGCAGGCAACATAGTCCACGTCAGAGATATCCCCCACTCCTTTAACTAACGGGCTGATATGAAGCCTACGATGCCCATTGGGATTATCTTAGGGTCTGTGCATTGTAGTATGTCTGTCCTGCACTATATGACTAAAATCTGCTTATAAGTGAGTATATACCATGTGTCTTCTTTCTGGGTCTGTGTTACCTCACTCAGGATGATCTTTCCTAGTTCCATTCATTTCCTGCAAATTTCATTCAAATCAGAATGCAATCAATCATTGAACTTATTTGTGCTCTTCACTAATCATCCTATTTCTTTGTGTATGTCTTATAAAGTAGCTAAATAATACTACATAATAAATAAAAGTAAAACTGTTAGAAAAACATGTTTTACAATGAGAATTTGATAATAGTTCTGTTCACATACAGTATCTTCTATTGCATAAATACAATATACAATAGCAATAAAAAAAAGTTCATGATTTTATCTCAAGGTAGGTTAGTTTTATGTTTGTTCAAAATATTTTACCTCACTTGACCTTGTGCATACTATCAAAACTCTTTTACTCTCCTTAGATTCTATCTAAAGGATTTTAAGTAGATAATTGCAACTCCAGTTCCTCAATGTTGTTCTTATATATACAAGTTCCTTGTAAAAAAATTCATTTTAATAAATTACAAAATCTTACTATTCATTACCTTCTTTCACTCAGTCTAGTAAAATTCAGGCAAACAGGGGCTCTACTCTGACTGACATTCAGTAGACCACTTGTGCCTTCTCTGGTCACATAGACCAAGGCAGACCAAGGCCAAGAGGAGCCTGCTGACAGTCTGGCTAGTTTGCCCAAGGAATCTCTTCTTTCGCCCCAAGGCTCATTTCCAGGTCCAGTACAGAAGAGAGCCTGAGCTCTCTTCTTCCAACGAGAGGAGATCACACCTTGCCAAAGGTGTGTATACGTATGGAGTGAGGTGTTGGCCCATGTTCAAAGCTACTGACAGTAGAAAATAGACAGATATGAGATATAAGTTTCAAGATAAAAGCTGATATAAATCTTCCCAGGCCAAACTCAGAGGACCTGAGCATTATCAGTCCACTCTTGGCCTGCCAGGCTTTAATAAGGATTCAGCATTTCCAAATTCGATTTCTAACTTTTACATATTTAGGCATCAGATAGAGGGAACCTCATTGGTGGTTTTGCGATGATCTCACAAGTTCTGTAGTTTTAACTGTTTTATATTTGTCCTACATAAAATAACATGGCTACTAAACTTTTAGAATTGACTTACCCTAGAATAAAATAATTTAGCCTAAGAATCCAGTTACAAAACACTTTGATAAGACATATAGCACACACCAACCGTACTGTACACTCAAGTACATGCTGGCAATATAGAAGGCAGAAGGAGCGTGTAAGGGCAGTGATTCTGTGGGACCCGCGGCTCCTCAGCATGTTAACTCTTTTTCTGTGATGATGTGTCTCTCAGAACAAAGCTGTTTCACACTTGATTAGTGGAAGTCACTTGGGATACTGAAGCTCTTAAGACCGAGCACTCAAAGCCTTGGCTGTGCTGCTCATCTGCCTCTCTCCCTGCATTTCTGCAGCTCATGTGACTGGCTATCAGAGTCCAATTGGCCTAAAGAAGGCACGCAAAAGTTCAGCACTGCAACTTAAGCTGTGCCCCTCCGATAACAAATCATTAGAAATGGAGGAGCAAACGGATACTGAAAAGTGAGAATGTGCAACGTTGCTGATGCAAAGAAGTTCACAACATAGCTGGTTCTTTAAGTCTGGGAGTTGGCGAGTCACAACACTGCTCAAGGGTAACTAAATGCACTCATTTTAGTCACGCACCACACCCTCCCCAAGAATGAAGGGTCAAAAGAGAGTTCGGCCTGCTTTCTTTTATGAAAATGCAAAACTTTCACGAGAGCTCTCAAGGTTAGCATTTCCAAAACTAGCTCAAGTTGCTAAGCGAAAGACTAGTTTTTCCCCATGCATTCCCTCTTGTATTAGTTTTGTTTGAAGAAAAGAGAAAACATACTCACTGAGGTTGTGGTTGTCCTTTTTCTGTCTCTCTTTCGTCAAAGCTCTATTGTCAGTTTCTGAACAAAAGATAAATAATTAAAACAGGGCTTAGATCTGCCTTAAAGCCTTCCTGTGAAATGTTCAGGAACACTAGGTAGAAATAAAATATTGCTGTTCTAGCATGGTGTAATAATATGGTTGGTGCCAATAAGAAGGAATTTTAGTAAAAAGAAATGGCAAAATTTTTAATACTTAGAGTAGCAAAAGCCTGACCTGTTTTCTAGCTTTCCATCAAACAGCTATGTGATCAATTACCAAACTTGGTGCCTCAGGCTGGCTCCTCACTTGGAAAATGAATGCAATACAATAGCTACCTGATAACAGATACGAAGATTATACATACAGGCATGCTGCGTAGAAAATGCCAAGCTCTTCACCAGCTTCTACTATTATCCCGTCATTTTGAGATTCAAAAATTAACCTAATCTCTTCAAAAATAACTAGGATTGCTACATCAAAGGAATTAGAGCTAGTTATGTATCTCAAATATTCACATCAAAACCCTCAGAAAACAGCACAAAGTTCTCTACAGTCTGGATAATTCTTATCCCCTGGTCTCCATTACTTGGGTTAATCCTTCAGTATCAGTTGCAGTTAGGACACCAACAGAATGTCAAGGAAACATCCAAGGAGGCTCTTAAAGCTACGTGTATTGTACCATCTATAGAACCTTATGGAGAGGTCCGTGCAGTTACAAAACAAGACTATTTGTCAACATGTAGCATTTTCACAGCCTGTGTATGAACCAGCTTTGAAGTGTATTGTTCAGGCCCAGCCACAAGTCACAGTCTGTGCTCTGGATGATTTCCAGAACATGGGATCACATTGTACATGTTTAAGAAAAGCATATGAACAACTACTAAAATACTGAATCCATTCAATTAAAATGTAAATGATATTTGCTTAATGTCTAGTTATATTAAGAAAGGATAGATTTACTCTCAATACTTTTAGCTATTGTAACCATACTTTAAAAATTCATTCAGCAGGACAGTATGGCATTTATATGTTATGCAACTGACAAAAAAATTTAAAAGGTAAAACTTTTTTGAAAAATCAACATTACCTGCAATTTCTTTTTTCATGGGTAGAATACTTGGACAAGAAGCACTAGTAAGACCAGTATTAACAGGAGAAATGCCCTGTTCATCGCTGTACACATCCAAAATACTACCAGATAACTTAAAAGAAAAAAGAGAGAAAAAACAAACTAATTAACATCATTGCTGCACATACATACATACATAGTGGTGTCAATCTTTCACTTTAAATTTGTCACTTGGCTAATGATTGTCAGAATAGATATCATATAAATTTTAAACAATAATATACGTTGACTTTTTATCTACATTATGAAATGTTTGTAGATAAGATACGCTTAAAACAGTTTTTGTGTTTCAACAAAAAAATTTATCAGTTCACGCATGAAAGAAAATTTGGATGAATATTCATAAATCTATAGAGATTTGAGCCAGGTTATGACATGGTTATAAGTTAGTACTATTAAGATATATTTTTTAGAGTAAACATACAGCTTAGCAAGTCTGGAAGTTCTTGGCAGATCACAAGTTAAGTACATTGGTGAAACACTTGGGAGCCTCAGAACGCTGTCGGTACTTTCAGAGACTGGCCACCAAGAGGAATTTTATGTTGTTAATGAAGTGGGAAACCGTACTTCCTGGAAGGCATCCTTTTCCCCATTGTACACGAATGTTCTAGATTAGTATAAATACCACAGCTGGTAACAGAGAGTGTACTAAGACTACTTTGCCTCTGTGAATATTGGCTCTTTACAATTGCAGGCACTGCAATTTTTGAAGTGTTTCTTGAGAACATTTTTTTTTTTTTAGAAACCCAACGTGCTTTGTATACATTTCAAATTGCACTGATTCATTATGCAAACTATGCCTATTGATCATGCAAGATTCAATAAATTATATTCATAGTTCAAGTAAACATCTATTATTTCAGAAAACAGTTACAATTATAATACAGGACTTAAAATTATAAAACAGTTTTATTTTATATGTCTTTATTCTATTTCTGAGGAGTTAAACCAAAGCTGAACAAGAAGCAACTTTTTTCCTTTCCTCAAGGCCTGGGGGAAAATATATGTAATATATACATATGTGATAATATATATATACATAGATACATATATAATAAAAACAACTATGCCAAAATTATTGCAAAGAATTTAACTCTACATTTCTATTTATTGCAAAATCCCAATTCAACCAAGAAAATATTTCAAGATTTAGAAAATTAGTTTGGCAATCAATATAAAGTACTTATTAATACTAAAATTAACTACCAGGAAAATAAATTATTATAGTGTATGAAGTAAATGTGTATTTCTAAGGAAAATCAACTATAAAATGAAGTTTAAGTCAACTAGTACATAAATTTATGTTCATACAAGGGGGTGCATTCCAGCCTGCTTTCGACACTTTGCTGTGTATTTTAGTTTACTGGTACTATCATTAACTTCATTGAAAGGTTCACCTTTAGGTTATACAGCCTATAATTTAATTATATTACCTTACATTGATTTTTGAAGTTCTAAGAATCAACCCAGGACCTGAAGTATGCTATGTACATGCTCTATCATGAGCTACACACTTGGCCCTACAAACTATTGTTTTAAAATGTTTTTCCTGGCAAGACATTAGATGAGAGATATTTAAGTAGTGACTCCATTTCAGTTTACTCATTTTCAAAACAAACAAAGATTGATTCAATTGGAAAGATGAGGTATGGGAGTCTCTGACAAATACAATTAGGAGGCGTTCCACAAACACAGACCCTTTCCCTAAAAGGTACGTCATTTAAGCAGACCTTTAAGCATACACATTCTCCACGCTCTTTTTTGAAAAGCTTCTTGGTTATGAGCCGAGGCATCCCCACCTGAGTTATGTGTTTCCAATGTGCCTTTGAAAAACATAATAGACGTGCTGAACAAAAAGGCAGGGAGCGGAGGGGGAGGAACTAGGTAAAGAGCTCTTTTCCTCTGAAGAGCTGGAATTCAGGTGGCTTTCAAGGTAGCCTGGCAAATTGCAGAAACATTAAGAAAGAAAAGAAGCTCTGGCCCATGTACTGTAACAATGGAGCCAGTGGATCCTAACCAGAATCCACAGTACCTGCTCAGACAGTGTTCGGACATTATTCCTTAAAAATAAGGCAGGATTCTGACAAGGAATCTAATCCTGCTTAACTGGAGCTAGATTACGTCCCCACTTGACCCTGGTTACAGTCTAATTTATGCCCTAAAGAGCAATAATTAATACCCTATTTAATTTTATGCTGTAGGGACTGTTCTGTTTAGTGTAAATGGGTAATACAGTTTTGAACATCATTTGACTGTTGTGTTTCAAGGCTTGTAATATATTTCTTGCCATCTTCTCTCCATTAAAAGTTCTAAGCGTGCAATGTTAGTGACCGTTGAACGCAAACATACCCATCTGAAGGAGCTTACAAAGCAAATTTGTATCTTCCATTGTCAAAGTCATGAGCTAATTCAGCAACCAGGCTTACATCTTTGTATGTCAGTAAGCAAATGGATACGCATTTTGTGAAGATGTATTTATTCTTCTTAAGAAAAGGCAGGCTAATTTCTCATTAAGGTAATACATTTGACACGACAGTAGATGAACATACTGTTACCAAACCAAATAAAAATAATTTATCTCAAAATGAATTTAAAAAGGTCGAGTACACATCTGAATAAGAGGGTTCTTCTCTCTGATAGAGGGAGAATAATAGTTGCAAGAAGCCACTCCATGATAAGCTGTGATTGACAGTGATCTCGTGGCATCTAGAGGTCTTAGGAACAGGCATAACCTTTATCTGGCCTTCGTAGGTGATAGATCCATTTAATATAGCCAGCATTTCCTGGAGAGGGTATTGTGGGAATAAAACATCTAAGAATTGTGACTACTGAAACAAAAACCAAAACAAAACAAAAAGAAATAGCATTTGAAATGACAAAAAAAGGAAAGAAGCAGAAAATTAGCCTAAAATAAGTTAGAGGATGTGTTTATAATAAACTGCTACAGAAAATAGTAGGTAAACACAACAATAGCCTGCAGGAGGGAATTTTATGCCTGTTGCTGTAATCTTGATCAAAAATCCTGTGTCAGGGGAAGCATAGGCCTTTGGATAGTAACTGCTATTGTTATTTTGCAAAACTATCATGCTCTCAAATTACCCTCTAAATGCTGTTGTTCATATGGATAGACCTGGGCTGAGATCAATCAGGTCAAAGTAGCATCTCTTTGCAGTGGACAACAGCCAGCGGAGAAATGGATAACTGTCCAGTGTGCTCAGAGCAAGAGACAGTGTCCAGCCCTAAAGAGGATATCTATATTAAGTCCAACATCAAGGATCAGGGAACATTCTACATTACAAAAGAGGAGACAGAGGAATGGAAGAGCCTGACAATGGACAAGAGTGCTGTGAAATGCTGTCTTTTGGGCATGCCATAGCTATCACATTCAGGAACTCACGGCAGCTATGCTACCTGCATAAAGTGAAGCCAGCCCAAGTCCAGGCATAAATGTGGTAGATGATTGATCGCCAAGTCCCACGCCTTACTGAGGAGCGCTTGGCAGCGGATAGCTGCTGAGGAAGGGAGAGTCATTCTGTTTTAAGATGTGGCCGCTGGTAGGGTTCGCTATGCCCCAGCAGATGGCCCCACATCCAAGCGCAGATGGGCAGTACTAACCAGAGTTAGTGGGCTATCAAAAAAATGGTAAATTGGAAAGAGGAGATTTGGGGTCATATGGAAGAATGCAAGAGGGAGAAATGGAGTATGTGTAGGTGGATGTGGATGTGGTCATATTCCATTACATGCATGTATGAAATTCTCAAAACTAAAGAAACAAATTAAGTCAATAAAACACTAGAATTATAAAATGACCGTACAATGACAAGAGAAAATCTGTAAGATTTTTCCAATAACACTAAGAATTAAGTGTAAAGTGAAATGGACGAATGTCTTCTAAATATGAAAAAGATAATTATGCAAATCTTTCTCCTCCAGTCTCGACGCCATGCATATATGAGGCCATGATTAAAAAATATTCCTAAGGATACATTATTAAGTTTTCTACCCTCTCAAGAAAAGCAAAACCAAAACTGGCTTTTTAAGGAAATGAGGGGGATCTGGGTGGAACTGGGGAAGGGAAAAATAATGATCATATACTGTATAATTTTTAGTGAATGAATCACAAGAAAGGTTTATTAAGAGTAACACTGAAAAAAAATGAGTGAAGTTCCTAAAAGGAAAAGATATTTAAAGGTATGTGTTACAAATATGAAATTAAATTGACCAAATTACTTAGAAAAGTGAATGTTGAGAAAATATTAAAAAAAAAAAAGTGATGTTTAAGATAAAAGAAAAGAGAGAAGTTCAGTCTTCACACCACAAACCTGAGTGACTGGGATAGCAAGCAAGTGATAAGAAATTACTTTGAAATATGCTTTTATAGAATTATTTATGTGTATGGGTGTTTTGCCTGAGTATATCCAGCACCCTGTGTGTGTGCCTGGTGAATGCAAATGCCTCTTCTGGGTGATACTCTGATAGAATTCCTGGGACTGGGATTACAGACTGTCATGAATACCATGTGGGTGGTGGGAATTGAATCTGAGACCCATGAATGAGTAACCACAACTTTTAACTTCTGAGCCACCTCCCCAGAACCAGGAAATATGCTTTAAAAATAGCACATAAATAAAGTAAAAATATATTGTATTAGTCAGAGTTCTCTAGAGGAACAGAATTTGTAAAATAGATATATATTTATATATTCATTCTTTCAGGTTGTGGTCTAGCTAATCCAGCAATGGCTAAACACCAACAGAAGGTCCATAAATCCAGGAGCTGTTAAATCCCTGAGGCGGGTTTTTCAGATTGTCTTTAGAATCCCAAAGAAGTAGGCTCTAATCTAGTGAAAGAATGAACTTGGTAGTGAGAGTGAGGACAAGCAGGCAAAGAGCAAGAGCTTCTTTCTTCCCAGTTTTTTAAATGGAATTCCACCAGAATTAAAGGTGTATCTTCCCGTCTCAGAACATCCAGGTTACAATCGGAATGTAAAGTGAGTGAGGGAAGAAACAAACAAGCAAATAAACAAATAAAAGAGATAAAGACAGAATCTATCTTTAAAAAAAAAAAAGTGGG